ATATGAGTCTAAACTATTTCCTACCATTGACGGGAAGTTCCTGGAGGATATTACACTAATATTCTTAAGGATAACTCGGTCAGGTAACTGAGAATAATAGTCAAACCCAGTTCCAAGAGAGAAGCTGGGGGTGGATAATCCAATGCATTGGGAAGTTCCCAGAAGAATACCACATGGGTATTCTTAGGGATAACCCAATCATTGTGAAATTGGTGAATAAGAAATTCACGTTCGAACCCTGAAGGTCAGAATGTCTCTTCTTATTCTCTAACTCTTAGGAGTTATTTTTGTGAGATGAGACCCAATCCTCTGATAGGTTAATCTTTCCTCACCAAACCATCCGCTGATCAAATTAAACGACAGTGGACCCACCAACATTTGCCCGTCATTGGCATTTCCCAGACTTAACATGCTAGGTCCTAAACGCCTAGCATTAAAGTCTCCCTTTGAGTGATAAGACGAGTTGGCATTTTCGTTGCTACCCGTACTCTACTCTCTTCGCTTTCTGGTCAAACCTACAAAAGTTAGGGCCACAGCCAAAATCCCCTCTCGATTCCTCCAATGAACGAGAAGTCCACTTTCAAATCGAGTGATCAAACCTTCGTACAGTTAGGGCCACAGTCAAAATCTCCTCTCGATTCCCCCAATGAACGAGAGGTCCACTTCCAAATCGGGTAATCAAACCTTCCGACAGTTAGGGTTATCCGAATTGTTACGATTCTCGGAGTGGAGATCCCACTCTTAGTTTCATCCTTCCGGATTCTGGGGGTGGAGATCCCACCTCGAGTTTCCTTTCCAGCTGTAGATAGAATATAAAATTCTTCCTCTTCAGCACCGGGAGATAGAATATAAAATTCTTCCTCTCCTCGGACCTTTCCGATGCTCGGAGTGGAGAACCCACTCCCAGTTCATCATTCCGGATTCTGGGGGTGGGGGATCCCACCTCAAGTTCCCTTTCCAGCTGTAGATAGAATATAAAATTCTTCCTCTTCAGCACCGGGAGATAGAATATAAAATTCTTCCTCTCCCGTTTCTCAATCTGTCTTTGCTTTTAGAAAAGACACGATTGTCAAATCCGGGCACTCGATGCACGGGGAATTTTATCCCGAAGCCTGAGTAGGGATAAGTCAACGCCTAACACGCGTTTCCGGGTAGCCTATTCCCGTAACAATAGCAAAGCCTATGTATTCAACATCATAGCACAAAGTCTAAGAGAAGCGATTCTCTTAGCACAACGTTACATGTGAAACGGGTTTTAATAATTCACATGCTAGCCCGATTCAAACGGTAATCGGTAAAGGCACATCAAACCCGTTGATGGCTGGGGGTTTGCCAAAAATCCCGAAGCCTATGTCTAACACGCATTGCCGGTTAGTCCTTGACCGTTAAAAGGACAAAAGACCACATATTCAACATTATGGCAGGTTGTTATTAATAACACCATAATCCGTGCCTCACACGCACGGGGAATTTTATCCTGAATCCTAAGTAAGGATAAGTCAGCGCCTAACACGCGTTGCCGGCAAAGCCTATGTATTCAACATCATAGCACAAAGTCTAAGAGAATTCACTCTCTTAGCACAGCGTTACAATCCACATACTAGCCCGACTCAAACGGTAGTCGGTAAAGGCTAATCAAATCCGTTGAAGGCTGGGGATTAGCCAAAAATCCTAAAGTCAACGCCTAACACGCGTTGCCGGGTAGTCTATTCCCGTGAGAAAGACGAAGTCTACGTATTCAATATCGTAGCACTAAGAGCGTTAACTCTCTTAGCACAACGTCACATGCGGAACGGACTTAAACAATCCGCATGCTAGCCCGACTCAAACGGTAGTCGGTAAAGGCTAATCAAATCCGTTGAAGGCTGGGGATTAGCCAAAAATCCTAAAGTCAACGCCTAACACGCGTCGCCGGGTAGTCTATTCCCGTGAGAAAGACGAAGTCTACGTATTCAATATCGTAGCACTAAGAGCGTTAACTCTCTTAGCACAACGTCACATGCGGAACGGACTTAAACAATCCGCATGCTAGCCCGACTCAAACGGTAGTCGGTAAAGGCTAATCAAATCCGTTGATGGCTGAGGATTTGCCAAAAATTCTATAACTGCGAGTCATTGACGCATCAACTCCCCTAGTTGGTCTCGTGACTCGAGCACCCAACAAATTCAGGATAAAAATCCACACATGCAGATGAATCAGCTTTTACAGATTGGTCCTGCAAACCCTCCACAAAATTTCAGCCGAATTTTCACAAAACCCCCCAAAGATTTTAACTAAAAAACCTCCCTCTTGAAAATTCAAGTGTGAAAAGGGTTATTTCAAATGGAGGGGACCACAAACCTCCCTCTTGAAAATTCAAGTGTGAAAAGGGCTATTTCGAATGGAGGGGACCATAAGCAAAAGGACAAATGAAGAAAGGGGGGACCACTAGGGGAGAAACACCCCTAGGTGTTTTCGCCCGGGATTTGACCCCCTAGACAGTCTTTTGACCCCCGGTGCGATGTTGTGGATCCCCGAATGATCTTCGATCCCCCGATATCTTTGAAAATGTCCATTCTTTACCGGCAGTTGAAAATAGGGGTGAACTTCACACATCAACCCAGGCGGTTTCAAAACCCTAAGGTGGACGCCGGTCAACGCGTAGCCTTGGGTCAACACCGGACAGCGCGTTGCGACAAAAGTCAACACGTGACGACGAAAGTCAACACGTGACGACGAAAGTCAACCCAAGCGGTTCTAAACCCTAAGGCGGACGCCGGTCAACGCGTAACCTTAGGTCAACGTCATTCAGCGCGTTGCAACAAAAAAGTCAACACGTGACGACGAAAGTCAACACGTGACGACAAAAGTCAACCCACGCGGTTCAAAACCCTAAGGTAGACGCCGGTCAACGCGTAACCTTAGGTCAACGCCGGACAGCGCGTTGCGACAAAAAGTCAACCCCCAGTGATTCAGAATCCCAGGTCAACACGATGCGACAGGGATAGCAAGTTCAAAAGTCAACCAAATGACACGAGCCAAACTCAACTCACCAGCTGCAAACTCGAGATTCCAACGACGGCCAGGCGATAAACGCAGCGCCGGAACAACTTCGGTTATTCGACAAAGCACCGGATAAACCGAAGATCGAAGGAGCCGAGAGTTGAAGCGGGTGTCCGCACCCCCTAGTGGTCCCCTAGACCCCCTTACCTACTCCCTAGCCTATAAATAGACCCCTTGGGTCCTCATTCAAAGGGCTGGAATTCTTTTGTCTTGGAGCAAGGCTAGAGAGAGAGGGGGAGGATTTTTGGAGAGCTTGGCGAAGCCCTGCTGCAGTGAAGAGTGCCCGTGTGCTTCAACAAGAGGAGGAGAGGTCTTGATCAGAGCCTTCATCACCCGTCCGAGCCTTAGTATTAGCCTTTAGCGTTAATACTAAGAAGAGCTAATACCTCGCTTTAGCCGAGGTATACGCTTATAGCTTCTAGATCTCACGCGGATCGACGAAGTTCTGCTTCTATATCCCTCCGCGGATAGACGAAGCTCTGCCCGATTTTCTCGGAATAGATCTGATTGCCCCGGTGGTCCACGGATATCAACGTCCCCGTCACAGGCCAAAGACCCACGCAAGCAAGAGATGACAAACAGCTCTTGCGTTTGTTTGAAAGGAGTTGCATTTATTTTGTTTTCATTGTGTATCGGTCTTATAAAAAGACTATCTTTTTATTTCATTGTAACGATCAAAGTTGTAATGAATGCAGCAATGAATACAGCGACTTTTTCCGCAAACACTTAGGTTCTCTTCATTCCGTTACACCCGATTGTCCACCTCTAGTTGCTAACTACTACTAGAAAATTCATAACTCTAATGAATATGTACAAATCAAATTAGAATACTCCTTTGAATTTTTTTTTATTAGCTTCATCACTCATTTGGTGCAGTACAAGAGAATAAAGTTCAGATGGGCTCGTGAAGAACTCATTGAGATTTGAAATTCTAACCTTTGATTGTGAATTTGAGAAAATTGTAATCTTTTGGTTTTGCAAAAATTTTCATAGTCCCTTTTCTTTCTCAATATTTATCTTGATTGTAAAAAAGCCTGATTCAGGAATCTATGGCAGTGAATTTAGTTTGTACATAAGAAAGAACTTTAAAATTTTGATTCTTTCTTGAAAATACTAATAATGTGTTCTCTTACACAATATTTTGTCATCTCAGAATTTCAGGTGCAAAATCTATAATTCACCATTTCTAAGAATTATTATCTTGTTAAAGATCTACGAACTTTAGTAGGAAATGTTTCCACCGAGCTTTAGCTTCACCATGTCCTTTTTAAACTTTTTTTTTTCCATATCTGGCATAGATTCACATATAGGATGAACTTTTGATTGTAGCATGTTGCAAGGGGACGTTATATGGGAAAGCCTCTCTTTTGTGTTATGTACAGCCGTGCAATGTGTTTTGGTTTTGTGCATTGCAAGACCCTCCATTATGGTAAGACTTAAAATCTCTTCATTCTGTTACCCCCGATCGTCCACCTATAGACTATAGTTGCTAACTACTACTAGAAAATTATAACTCCAATGAATATGTACAAATCAAATTACAATCCTCCTTTGATTTTTATTTTTTTTTAAATAGCTTCAACAATCATTTGGCGCAGTACAAGAGAACAAAGTCTAGATGGGCTCATGGAACGGTCGCATATTATCTATATCCAGCCACAGTCCCTAACCCTTAAGCATCTTTAAATTAACAAACATCATCATCAAGCAAGCTTGCTACGTATAACAATGATTAATTAATCCACGTTGCAGCAATTACCAAACAAAAATGCCATAAAAACAAATGAAAAATGGGTTGAGATGTTACCTCATCCACAATCCATAGGGCTCAAAGCAAACCCTAATTTCTGACCACCGTTCTAAATCAACTACAAAGGGGATACAAATTGCATTAAAATTAATATGACAACAACCTCATAAATAGGGAAAATTCAACTTTCTCGACGAAAAAAAAAGGTATAGCAAAAGTTTTTCACTGAAAAGCGCAATTTATTTACAACATCGGCCAGATCAATCACCCAAAATAATTCATAGCGTCCAATTGAAACGGAAAATTTTAAAAACTATGCAACAAAGAACTCATAGCAAATATTTCCAATCTCTTTACTTTTTACTACAAATGCTATTTTAACTCATATATATATAGAACTGTAGTAAAAGAAATATGAACTCCTCTCTTCCAAGTAGCAAATGCGCAAACAGAAAATGTGGCTGTCCATGAATAAACAACAATAGCATTTCCCTTCAGATAACTTCCCAAATAGTTAATCTCCACCGTGTCGATTGATGGCCAGAGTAAAGTATATGAGGATCAAAGTTCCCATGCTAGACCTGGCCAATAACAGATAAAAAAGATTTTAGCAAATAAAATTATGATCATGTTTAGGAAAAAAAAGTTTTTTTTCCCCCCCATTTTCCTTTTCTCTTTCGAGAATGTAAATAATCTCTATGCATAACCAACACAGTTCAAGGCTCAGCTGATGGGTACCTAAAAGCTGGACCAGTAGTGAAGTGTTTTGAAGTTAAACATAACCTCCAAATCTTGCAATAACTTCAGAGTTTGGGTGCAGTGGTAAGAAAAAGAAATTAGAACAAGGGTAGCTAGCTACAAAATAAATGTTTACATAAATGACCAGTATGTTAGTGTTTATGTCATTTATGGCCATCTAAACCACATTAACTATCATAATACCAAAATTAATTCGCATTTATTTATTCTTTAGTAACTTTACAATTTGTTCACTGAGGGCTTGTTTGGATTGAGGGGAATGAGGGTGAAGGGAAGTTAGGGGAACCATTCACTTTGTTTGGGAACATTTATTAGGAGGTGAAGTTAATTCACCCTGGTTCCCTTGGTTCACCCCCTAATAGTGTAAAATTTGTTACCCCCAAATTGGGGTCTAACCAAGGGGAAGGGAACTCCCTTCCCTTCCCTTCCATTCTCTCACCTAGTTTTCCTTAACTTCCCTTCACCCCCTACAAATCCAAACAGGCCCTGAGACTATCTAAACAAGGATAATATTAGGGCGGTAACTTTTTTATTTTTATTTTTTATAGCCCAACCCGGAATCGAACCTAAGACTGTGGAGCTATATTGGAACCTCCTAACCATCCGGGTCACCCGCGATGGGTAACCTAGGGGACAAATGAAAAGCAATGTAAGTAACTTAAGAAATAACTTACATAGATGCAAAGAGAAGCAAGATCTTCCTTGGATTAATAGTTGTTAAACGATTAAACCTCTTATTCCTCCCATCTAAAGAATCTCCAATACAAACATTATTTGATACGGTTGATGTTGCTGAGAATGATTTGTTATGTACCAATGGCTGCTTCAAGTGATCCAGCTGTGAACATACCACTGAAGAAAAAAAATTTGAAACTAGTCAAATAATTTGATACCACATAATTGCATTATACATAGATTTTCATTTAATGAATTGGGAAGTCAACTTAAGAAACATATTTCTTCAGTAGAAGGGAATATGAAGATTGCATTTTAAATAGTAAACAATAGGAAAACGACTTTATCGTACTTGAAAATAAGAGCAAGGCCATTTGAAGAAGAAATCTAAGAAGATAATAAGAAGACAGCTCATAATCTATCCTTTCTTGTTATCAGGCATGTTCTGTAATTGACATGAAGGGTCAAACATGAGAAAGACAACAGAAGGTTAGGTTTGAGATCACATGCAACGGAATTTGGAAACAATATTTAATGGTTGATTATTCCTTTGTTTTGTGAGCAGCTTCGGAGGTTAATTTATATTATTGTCAGTAGCCTATCTGATCCATTTTTAATAATAATTGCAAGTGTAGAGAAATAAACATGTATAGCTGTTAACCAATAGCATATCTTTCATACCTTTAACGACGAGCTTTTTGGATGTATCATCGGTTTCTTGATCTTCACCACATCGTCTCTCCATTCGATTTGAGCCTTTACGAGATAGAGCTTTCTGTTTAACAAGAGAAAAATTAGATATTAATAGAAGAAGTTTAGGAGATGTTCTATCACACACCTGGAAAACATTTAGTGTATGTATCACTCACCGAGACTTTAGGACTCCCAGAGCATCTATCAGATGGTTGTGTGAGGCTCTCAATGTCCAATATCACATTTGCTGCTTTATCCGTGTTTGTTATTTGACTCTGCCGAGATAGGAATTGATGGTCAGATGTCATGAAAATAACACAATACATCTTGAAGTTCAAATGGATGGGGCAGGAACCTAATTTATGATCTTAATAGTCAAAATTCTCTCGAAAAAACTGTTAAAAGTTGTCATCCAAATTTTCGTGATATTATGAATGCTCTGTTTTGATCACGAACTATCATCATAGAGGGGATGCGTCCTCAAAGACCCAAACAATTCACCATTATCCCTTCTCATTTGATTCCAAGCCTATGAACACAAATTAACAAAATCCTTTCAGTGTACCTACCTTATGTTCCCTTGACACCTTTTATGACACCCATCTTGCAAGAATCTCTATATTTAGGGCAGATAATATAATATAACAGAAAACTAATCGATCAAATATTCCATCTGATCATGAACCTATCGTGGAGGAGGGAAAAAATGAAACAACATAAGAAATTGACACGTTAACTCTCAAAGAATTGGAACAATAAGAGAATACACTGACAGAAATGTTGGGGCAAAATATTTTGCTTACCTGCATCAGAACATCCTCCATTAAAGAAGTTATATAGCAAAATCCTTAAACTGAGGGTCAACACCAACTGCGGATGAAGAGTATTTGATTAGTTAAACCGCTAAGCATAGAAATACAGTGAAAATTTCAAAAGTAGCAAACTGTTGTTCTTCATATCACTAGACATTTTTTTATTTACCACACGGTAGCTTAGTGAGTAAAGTATCAAAAATCATATTATGCTTAGTAAGTACATTTCAAATCAATAGTTGCCGAGGTAAAGCAAAAATACATGGCAATTTCCTTCATGCTAAATCTCTACAAGGAACCCATTCATCAATTTTGATTAGCATTTACATCACACAATTGTCGATGCCCTTGGTAAAATCCCAATGGAAAAATCAAAACTAAGGACTCCAGTTAAAGGTTGTTCATGGAAATTCTACCTACTGAGTTAAAACTATAATCCATATTAGATTTTTCAAAATAAGAAATGGAATATCCCTGCCATTTTGGATTTTGCAACTTTAATGCTACTAAATCATACATAAATTCCTCTAGAATTTACTTCTCGGACAAAAATTTATTTGTTCTTAGAAAAATTCATGATAGAACTATTGAGAAATTCATGCAAAATATTCGCAAATTGTTGATGGAATACTTTAAAATATAAAGCCTACACAATCAAAATAGTGTTGAATGACCAATTAATGATAAGCCCAAGAAGCCTCTTCTTTTGATTTCCCACATGGTCATTCTTTCATCTACAAAGATTTAAGAGGTTGCATCCTATTTCATCTACAAAGATTTAAGAGCTTAGTGGTGGTTATCTCAATTAGAAATGTTTGAAATTACCAGCACTA